GGCGGCCGCGGCCAAGAGGCCCAAGGTAGCGGCGTGGCGGGGCCCAGGGGGCAGCAGCAGGATTCTGCGGGGGGGGCAGTGAGGAGCCGAGACGGCGCCGGTTCGGGCTCCGCTCCAGCCCCGCGCAGGAGCGGGGCCGCCTGGCCTGGCCGTGGGGCAGCGCCGGCCCGGAGAGAGAGATGCGAGTCACGGCGGGGCCCCGGCCCCGGGCCCGCCGCTTTGCTGCTCGTGGCAGCCGGGCAGGCAGATAAACCCGGGCAGGCGTGCGGATGACAGGAGGGTCTGTGCTGGTGTCGCAGGAAGGGGCAGGGACGATCGCAACGAAGCTCAGAGGACGCAGGGTCTGGCCCGAAGAGTTTCATGTGGTCCTGACAGTGCTCCTGGCTGGTTCCTCTCCTGGGCAGAGGGTTGGTTGCACCTCTGCACACCAGAAGTGTCATTGCTGCGTCCCAGCCCAAAGGACTTCACAGCACCAAGTTTAAAAATGCAGTTTTTGCTTCCCTGCCAATCAGGAGTGAGCTGCCAGCAGGCCCCTCAACCAGTCAGCGGCAGGGGGGTACAGGGGAACCTGCCAGATTAAAGGAGCTGCAGTGCAGCCTACTTCTGCCATTAATCCCGTAGAGCCCTAGGCATTGTTTAACAGAGGGGATTTGCTCTTGCCAGATTGCTCAGGTCAGAGCTACAGCTAGAACCTGAGTTTTTTTCATCCAGTTGGTTGCTGTCTCCACTGGGTCATTGTGCTGCTTCTCTTCAGCTAATGTGGCTAAGCAGGAGCTTGGCACAGTCCCTATTATGCCTCCTGCCCTGGGATCTCCCAGCTTGGACTGTCCATGCTCCCAAAGCTTGACTTGCTTTTCTGTTCACAGGTGGTGGCAGAAAACAGTCCTGCTGAGGATGGCAGCACTGACGCCATCTCTGGCTTCCTGGGCTGGTGTAAGAAGATTGGTTTGGAGCTCAGCCCCAAGGTAGGAGATCGTGGTGATGGAGCTGGGTGTCCAGGGAGCCTTGCTGGGGCAGGGAATGGTTGGAGAATAAGACCCATACACCTGTGTGTCATAGAGAGGCTGAGCTTGGCTTATACAGCTGAAACTGTTACCTCACTGGGCTGGCAGGAAAACAGGATAGCGGGGCTCCTATTGTGGGATGGGGCAGGAGTAGCTGAGAGGGCAACAGTTAGGCAAAGTGAGGGGTAACAAGGCAATTCCCACTTACCCTCTCATGTGTTGGTGGAAGGCTGCAGCACTCAGGGTGGATTACTGGCCTCCTGTTGGGGGTTGGGAGCAAGTTTCTGTGGACAGTGGCTTGATTTAGTCGTCAACCTTTGGCTGTGGCTTCACTTGCAGCACTTCAGAGCTGCCCTATCAAATTCCTGGGGCTGGGATTTTGTCACTGGGGTCACCCAGCAGAGTCTCCTGCTTCCTCCTAGGTCTGTGTGAGCAGAGAAGGCACCGTGGCAGACTATGGCATGTTGGCCAGAGAGGACCTGCAGGTTGGAGAAGTCCTCTTCACCATTCCAAGGGCAGCCCTCCTTTCCCAGCACACCACCTCCATTCAGCCCCTCTTGGAGGAAGGTACAAGAGGGCATGCTGGACCCCAGGAGCTTGGACCGGACATCCCATCACTGAGACTGTTGTTTCTGTGGTGGAAGAGGGTGGTACCCATGGGGCTCTCTACAGGTGCAGGGGGGACAGTAGGGGGTCTGAGCTGGATATTGGGACCAGGGTGCTGTAATTTTGCAGGACTTCTAACAAACAAAAGAGGGTAGGGGATTGGTAGGTAAGAGTCTTTTCTACCCTCACCTTCCCAACCACCCCATCCCTGAGCATCACCCATCAGGAGCTTTCCAGCAAAATGCTTCTGTTGAAAAATCGTCATAGGTTGAAAAGGAAACTGTTGGTGGCAAAATCATGCTTTGTCCACACTTATTGAGCAGTTTCCTCAGTCTAGGATGAAAGCAGGGAGACCCAGGATACCCCACAGCCCAATGGCACAGATATGAGACACCCAGGATCAAGTGTCAATCTGCCTAGGCTGAATCTTATCCCTGCCCCCAGGCCTGCTGGCTGCTCCAGGTTGGGTCTCTTGCTCCCTCTTCTCAGTTTGTGGATGATGGAGTCAAGTGTATGTTTAGCAGTTTTTCAGATGACACCAAGCAGACACTTGAGGGCAGGGCTAGGATCCAGAATGACCTGGATAGACTGGAGAAATGGTTCACAACCAATGAGGTGAGATTCAGCAGAGTGCAAAGTCCTGCACTTGAAATAGAATGACTGCATGTACAAATGCAGACTCGGGAATACAGTACAGTACAATACAAATGCAGTACTGCAGAGAAAGATCTGGGGGTTACAGTGGACCATAAGTTGAATATGAGCCAACAGTATACTCTTGTTGTGAAAAAAAGCCAACCAGTCAGTATGCTGGATTGTATGAACAGCTGGGATAATGTGCCCAGTTTTAGGTTCCACAAATCAAGAAGGATGTGGAGAAATTAGAAGAAAGTTCAGTGCAGAGTGACAAAAATGATCAGGGGCCTGAGAAGTAAGATTTATGAG